GATTGAGAGAGCAAAAGCGAGAGAGAGAGAGAGAGAGAGAGAGAGAGAGCGCGAGAGAGAGCGCTTTAGCTGGGAAAGGAACTTTGACTAGGAACTTAAAACTAGGAGAGACAGAACCTTGCTGGACTATGTTTGGGGTGTTGGTTTGCATTTTGTAAATTGTCTCTTGTAACTTAGGAACTCTGTCTTAGGCAAGAAATAACGCCCTGGTCGGTATCCTCTCTTTTGTCCCTGGGTGGCATAATAAATGCAGGGGTTAGAGGCCTCAGGAACGAAAGGAAGTGAGCAGAAAGGTGAGCTGAGCTGCTCCTGGACTGAAAATATTTGGGGCTCAGGGGAGATGTGCACCTATTACTCATAAGGGCAGGTAACCAATTGTGGGCTCTCTATAAACACCGATGACAAAGATCTAGTCACCTGGGACTTTACAAGCTTCTTTCTGCAATGTGAAAATTAGGGATTCAACAGTGGAAAAGAGGAGGAAAACAATGGAAAGGGAAGGTTGGGGTTCACTCAAGGATTTTAGCCCCGCAGGTGGGAACTTCAAGATCTCCCCTTTCCTTCACTCCTAGACCCCAAACTTTGCAGAGTTGAGCTCTGCCTAAGGCTCCACAGCCCATTGGGCTCACCTTGTACAATTTCAGCAGCCACCCCTAGTCCTCCTCATCTTTGACCTCTCCTCCCTCCAGGTCCCCAGCTCTCTCCATCCAACTCTCCTACTTCCACCTGCCTGGGCAGACTGGGGTAGCCCCAGCGCCCGCCTGTGGTGGGTCTCCCTGGGAAGCGGCCAGGGAGGGGGTCTGGTTGGAAAACGGAGTGGGGAAGTTTCCCAGTGTGAGTTGAGCGCTGACGGATTTGTGATCAGCCATAAAACCGGCGCATTCGGATTCGTAAATCAATCTGGCCTTTCTCACAGTATAAACGTTCGCTTTATCGGCAGCAAGAAAGTGCTCGGCTCGCGCTTGGCGCTTGTTTATTTGAACATAGACATTCCCAGGATCTGAAAAGAGTGTGGGCATTTTAACAGAACCTGCCCGGCGTGCCTTCGTGTCATTTTGCTGTTCTTTCTCTTGTCTTTAAAAATAATTTCTTGGTTTTAGAGATTGCTGCCTCCCCATGCTCCAGCGTATCATGTCTTTTCTCTCTCACTCATGTTTTTCTTTTCGACTTTAGTGGAGAGTTTTCTTTGGGAGACCATTTTAATGGATTTGTGGTCAGGACCTCGCAGGGAGTTGCAGAGAGTTGCTGGAGCCAGGCGCGGGGCCCATGTTGAGAGCAGGCTGAATTCAACATCAGGCTGTGTTTTGTATCTAGACAATCAAAGCTGACCACCCCCCTACAGAGTCTGGGCCCTGCCGGAGCCCCACCTATGTGTCAGGAGCAGGGTTCTGAGGAGGCCAGGCCTGCCCAGTGCCTTCGGCAGGGGCTGCGATGCCGCCACAGCTGGACCTTACCGAGGCTGACACAAGGGTGGCTGTTTCTTGGGAATTGTTAAAGCCTCTGGGTCCTCAGCCTCTTACCCATTGAGCTGATTTTGGTTCAGACCCCGCCAAACAAACCAACAGAGCAGCCCTAAGACCCAAGCTCCCCTACCTTAAACCGCATTTGTTGTTCCCATGTCCTGTCTGCCCCCGCGGCTGTGACTGAGCTGCCCCGAGCTGCTGAAGATAAGGCTGGGAATGTTCTGCGCGGGGCTTTTTCGGGAATGTCTTTTCTGCTCCCCTTTGCACCCCTACCCCACTCCATGGCCAAGAACTCCGATTCTGATTTTAACTGGGCTGCTCTTTCTGGGGCTGAGCTGTATGTGAAGGTTTGGGGGACGTTTTATTTTGTTTATATCTGAGATGAAGGCATCTGTGTATGTTTCTCCCTCTAGGCCTAGGGAATGGATTTCTCCTATCATCCCTGTGTTCAACCCTTTAATTTCCATCCCCCCCCCCCATCCTTTTTTCCATTGATCAGGCTCCATTGTCTGTCAATTGGAAGCTCAGGGTACTAACACCTGGGAAATAGGGACCAGGGGCTGCCAGGCCGACTTCAAAGCCTCTTTCTTCCTTTTACCCTCCCCTCCCCTCCAGTTCAAATCTCCAGCTGTCTTTGCTGGAGTTGGGGGTGGGAGGACTGAAACAGGGTGTAACATAGGTAGGGAGAGGCCGAGTGTCCACTTCTTTTGTGTAGAAACCTTAGTCTGGGTCTTTGTCTCTGGAGCGTATTCTCAGTGAGTCAGTAGAATCTGGTTTCCTATAATAGTAACACCAAAAAACGAGAAAAGTCCCCCTTGCGGTTACTCTCAACTCTAGAAGTCCCAGAGTCGCTTCTTCGCCCTGTCCCTTTTCTGCCCCTTTAAAAGGTATCACAAAAGATCAAAAAGAGAATGAAAGCCAGAAACCCCATTCTTTATACATACAACATGGACTTATGAAGTGTTTTTTTTAAAAACTGGTCCCTTTAGAAATTTTGTTGATTATTATTACAAAAAAGGGGAGTGGATCCCACTAAAATCAGTATCCTAGGAGTGAGGGAGAGAATGGAGTTGGGGGGAAATCTTAATCTTAAAGGATGCAGAGAGAACTGGAAGCTGAGAAATCCAAGGGCTTGGAGAAGGGCTTGCGCCCACCCCACCCCCACCCCCAGACGCCCCTGCAGACTATTTCTGCACCTTCACGAACTAAGCAGAAGCAGGAGGAGAAGGGAGAGAGGAGAGGTGGGCTGTGGGTAAGTGCGTGTGGTGGGGTGTTTAGGGAGCTGTAGATATAGTAGGTATAGATATGAATCTGAGAGAAAGAAGGACAACTCACTACTATTTCATTGGTGGGTTGGGGGGGGACTATTTTGCAAGAAAATTTCTCCTCCTGAAGGGGAAGGTCATAGTGGTACTTTGAGCCTGAAATCGAAAGACCCCCTTCCCCCTCCTGGTCACGTGATTCATTAAATAATTAATGCCGAGGTTGCAGAATAGATATGTATTCGTCAGGAAAATCGCAGGCTCGGTCTCCCTGTTTCTGACGTGCAATTCAACTGTCCTTTGAAAAACAAGCCTGTACCCCGAGAAAAAAAAGAGAGAGGGGGAGAGAGAGGGAGAGAGAGAGAAAAAGAGAGGGAGGCAGCAATAAAACAGCCCCGCAGCCGGAGCCACACCGCGGGCTGGGGTATTGTAAGTAGAAGGGATTTCT